TTAAGTGGAATAAGATTTTCATGAACATATTTTAAAGCACTCATATACGCTTCTGTCGTACGCTTGTTCATCAAAATGTGGACGATCGGATAAGTCTGAAATTGAGATATAACGAACTCTACACTAGCAATCTTAAGCCCCGTGTACATGATAGAGACGAAGAAACAACGCTAGAGAAAATTAAAATATCACTAATGTGCAGTGATGTAGAGCGTAAATGCATTGTATTGCTGAATATTCTCTATCATGTAACACTCTCTACATTTATAAGTGTAGAATATTTTTAATGTAGATTACATACCCTTTTAAAGTATCGTATGTAAATCGTTAGCACCTGTTTGAATATTCCAACTGGAGTTATGCGAAAAGTACCATCCATTTGAAAAAATCTTTCCTCTTGGTTTATATTTTCGAGTATAAATTTTATAGATTTAGCTGATGAAAATATGCAGTGACAAAAGTCTTTTTCAATGTGGGTAATGTTGTAGAAAACCAATCGATCTTTATGAAGGGATCTTCCCAAATTTTCAAAAACTTCTGGTTTCTCGAATTCGTCAAGAATCTGTTCAGCACTCATTGGCGCTTTACCATACTTTGATTTTCGTAATTCTTCGAGTGTCCTTCTTACTTCTTGAAATGATTGTGGAAATACTGCATTACAAAGTGGATCATCTTGCCATCTGGATAAGGAAAAAAGATATAGATAATTTGTACTCGGTAGAGTGTAAGAATCTACACTGAGAAAAGTAAATAAATGTGTCGTACTCTGTTTCTATTACAGTGTCTAAACTTGAAATTCTTTCAATCTCTCTCGTATACTGTATAGTCAATTTGAAAGTACTTACTCTGTTAAAACTTCTTTGTATATTTCATATGGTGTCATAGATGCTGGTGCACTTATTGCTTTTGCCTTCATTTTGTTAACGCAACACATCTGTTTGTAGATTTCGTAGTGTGAGCCATGAGATGTTAAGTGCTTTGAGTTACTCTTCTTATACGCTTTTTCGTTTTGCCTAATGAATATTCTAGCATTGCAGTTTGAAATATAGCATGTACAAGCGGTTGCCTTTGCCTTGTTACTAAAGGAATTAATGTAATATAGATGTTGCTCTTCATAAGCCCAAACGAGTTTTGACCCTTTCCGAAAACCATTGATATATTCATATTTTACTTCAACTTCTCTCTCAATACAAATGAAATTACTATCAACAAGATTATCGTCATCTTGACTATTTTCGACTATATTATTTTCAATTTCGGCTAAAAGCCTACTAGATAAAGAGCTCATTTTAAACACAAATGATTTATATTTATCACAAATGACTATTACTAAAGGCAGATTGGTATTGAAAAAGAAAAACATGAATAGATTTTGCATTGGTCTTGCAGATATGATTTCACTGTAGTAGTGAGTACACTAACATAATCTACTACATATAATAAAGACACTTTCACTATGTATAATATAGTGGGTCAATAATGGTTTGTTTTTTTATTTATTTACTATTAGTGGCAATGAAAATATTTATATTTTTTCAAGTTTTCTTTAAAAAAAACATCATATTTTTATAATTTGAAATATTCATGGTTAAAAAAAATAGTACTTCATCAAACTAAACTCTGTGTAACAAGAAAAATTGGCGCTAAATCTACTACTATAAATTGTCAATTTGTCACTTTTCTACTTTATATGTCCACATAAAAGGTGTGAGAATTTGTTCTATGTTCAACGTGGTGTACATATAAATTATTAACAACTATTTTTTTTAACAAAGTCTTTATTTCACAATTTTTGTTCAAAATTGTCTCAATCTCTATTTATAAAAATGGATTTAGCGAAATATACGGTAAATTTTACAATTTTTTGATTTTTTTTCTTATTTTGAGGTTTTTATAGTTATAGTAGGAAATAAAGCATTTTAATATTTTCTACATTTACATAAGGTTGTTCAACTTAGATCGATGCTACGAACATATGAATTGAAAGTATCCGGAAAAAAAACTGAACTTATAACTAGATTGACTGAACACATCAAAACTCAATATAAATTACGTGAGATATCTGTTCGTTTGACTCGAATCGATATCAGCAGATTTCAGCAGTCTAACTCTACACGACCAGTACAAGGTTTAAAACGCACATTAAGATCAAATGCCAAAGTCAACAAAACAAACGAATTTCATGATAATCAAAATGCTGTACAAATACACCCAAGACGAAACGCCGATGTAGATTCTCCGCCAAGAAAAGTTCGAAAAATTGTAATAACCACAACCAAATTAGCCAATATTACGAAAAAAAAATCTAGGAAAAGTTATAAGATTGTAGCCAATGTGATTTCTTTGATGCCAGCTTTATTGAAATATGAAATCGTGTGGGCCAAAATGCGTGGTTTTCCACTTTGGCCTGGTATCATTGAAAATGAAACACCCAAAGGGAAATATATAGTTCACTTTTTTGGCGATTATACCACCTACGAAGTAGGCCGAAACAATCTACAGCATATAATTGAGGGCTTCAATATGTACGCTAAGTCAGAAAAACCCACAATGAAACTTCAGAAAGCTGTGCGTGAATGCCAGTTGTTTTTGTTTGAAAAAGATTTACCACAGTCTTGTTATATTTGCGATATGCTGAAGATAAAGTCATCGATGAAAAGCTAAAAGAAATAAATAAATATGAACGATATCAAAATATTTGATGAAACAAAACAAATGTTTACATTATTTTTGTTCTGCTTTATTTATGTAGATTTTATCAACTTACATAGAATAACTTTGCAGGTTCTACAATAAATTTAGTAGATTATTCAGAAATTCAAAATTAGTAGAGTCAAACTTCCACTCTATTGAAGGAATGAAAATATATTAAATGTTTTGAATTTTCATACATACATAAATATTATGTTAATTGGGGTTGGTAAAAGTACTTCTACTGGAGTTGGATATAAAATAATCTATATCTATGTGAACACCTGGGTTGTTACGTAGATTACTTTGATACATAATCTACATTTTGTAAATGTAGATTACTATCATGTAAATTACATATTTTTTTTGTAATACATAATTTGTAGATTATTAAGTTTTGGCTAAAAAATATATAAAAATCGGCAGAAAATATATCAAAATACCAAGTTACGCTGATCACACAACTCATTTTATCCTCTTCAGTAAAAAAACACTCTCGTTTTTATTTGAAGTTGCAGATTTAAAGCTGCTGTGTATTTATTTTAAAGAAATAATTGTCTTCATTGACATTCGAATTTTTTTTTGTAACAAGTCATAAAAATGATAACTTATAATTTATGTAGAAATTTTGCTTATTAGGCACACGGTAAAGCAGTTGATCGTAACTATCTTTATTACAATCCTTTCCTAATAATGTATCGTAATGTAGTCAAAGATAAAATATATTTTGTTAGATGATTTTCTGGCATCGCGGTGCTCTACTGTGATAATGGTAATGAGTTTGTCTTAATTTTAGGTTTGAATTTTTTTTAAAACGATCATCGTTTATGTCTTGTGAGTTTTCACTTCTGATTGTAATCGCAACTATTGTGGGTATACGCTTTGAAGAACACTTTCGAAAAATGTCTGGCAAAAGAAAAAATATATTAGTGATCTATATATTTCAAAATTATTTTTTTTTTTTAAATTACTTGAACGGCTGCTTGAAGTTGGTTAATCGCACCCAAAACTCCTTGGCGGAAATTTTCTATAAGTTGCGCTTGCATTTGAGAGTTTTGATGGAGGATTTCAGTCGCTTCGTTCAATTTCAAAACAATTTGAGAAAGCATCTTTTGTGCTGTAAATGCGGAAAATTTAGAAAAAATATGATTGATTATAAAAGCTAATTTTCATACCATCAACATTTGCGTGATCCGTATTGGCAGGAGTCCCGGATGATTGTTCAGCTACATCTATAAAAAAAGAAAAATAATACGGAAATGCGTTAGAATAGAAAACTTAACTAAACTAAAACATGTAGAGTGTTTTTCATACCGGCGAGATTTGCAGCATTAGCTTTGGCAGTTTCGATAGCGTCAGTAAGATTTTGACCAAGATTTTTCGCGACTAAAAGAGAAAATTAAAATTAAAATAGAATTTCATTAAAATAACAGGGAAAAAGTATTTAAGTATAATAACCTAAAATATTTTCGGATGATGATACACCTAGATCCGTGGCCTGTTTGATAATAATTTCAAGATTTTGTAGAGATTTAGCTGCTTCTAAAAGTGGAAAGAAGTAGAGAACTTATGTAAGTCATATAGAGAAAAAAAATTAGAGAATATACCATTAACTATTATCACATTTGAATGATTGGAACCGATAGATTTAGCGACTTCAATGTGTTTCTGGAGACTGGTAGAACATGTTCGAGCTTCCTTGATAGATGACGATAAATCTATATCAACCTGAGGTACAACAGTTGTAGATAGAGCACTGGCATCCTCTATAAGAGTTTTAAGATCACCTGAAAATAAATAGAAGAGGCAAGTCAACGATAAAAATTACATTAGAGTAAAGAAAATTGAATAAAATGTAAAGAAATTATTATACCAGCAAAATTGCGATCATTCAGAGATGATATTGTAGTACGGATTTCTTTCATGTGCTTTGCCATTTTGGCAGAGTTTTCTTCTACAGATTTCAAATCTGTTGTGAGAGTTTTGATGACATCATTAGCATCCTTGATAGTAGACGAAAAGGTACCAAAAAAATCACCTAAAAATTACACAAGCATAGAACGTTAGGTATCATTGGCATTAGAATGGAAGAAGTAGAATTTGGATAAAAAGACTGTACAAGCAAGTTTGCCCGCTGCGTCGTTGAAAGCTCCAGCAAGAGTCGCGGCTTTTAATATACCGTCCGTAAGATTTTCAGCAGCTTTATTTGCATCTAAAAGAAAAGTAAAATTGCCGAACATTGTGAAAAAGGGAGAAAAAGTAGAAAGTTTCGAGAAAAATATTTTACTTGAAATTTGTTCCGTGGTTCCAATGTTAACTGCGGCAGCAATTGCAATCGATAGAGATACAGAAACAGAATTGGCCTTTTCTAAAGCTGTGCTCAATTCATTAGCAGAGTCTGCAACATCTAGAAAAAAATCATAGAAAAATGCATAGCATACTGTAAAAATGTATAAATTATGCTTAATATGAGTAAAGATTTTGATAAAAATCAAACAAACTACGTATAACCATCTTCTATGCAAAAATTTAAGATTGAAATGTTTTTAAACCTGTATAAAGAGGTGCCTTTAAGAAGTGTGTACAAAAATTGACAGATTTCGATAGATCTACAGCAGCAGTTTTAGCATTGCTGATAGCTTGTAAGAGATTGTCTGAACCTAAAAAGAATTTTTGTATGGAAAAGAGAAAAAAAAACCATTACTGCTGAAACTATGGCAAAAAGTCAGAGAAAAAAATGTGTTCATCTTCTGTTATTGTTACAGCAGCTGAAATAAAATTTGTAGAGAAGATATGAATGTAGACGAAACACCAAATGGCGAACACGTCATTAATGAGGTCTAAAAGAGTGGTGCAGTCGGATCAATCGTTGAAGTACCGGTTATATCTAGTGTTTCGATGACGCTTAAAGTAGAATCACTCGTAGCATCATTATCCTTAGTATCTTTGAAAAAAAGTAAAAAAGAAAAACAAGCGTTTTGAAAAACCTAGGTTTTGGTATGAAAAAGTGAGTAGAGTAAACAATGCCTGTAGATAATAACAATAAATTTACAGAAAAGGTATACATGTGTAAAAATCTACTTATATGGCAAAAAGGTAGAAGTAGAAAAATATATTACCCTGGATTTGTGCAGAGGTCTGGATTTGTGCAGTAGTTCTTGGTGCTGTTATTGTTGAGGTCGTTAAGTACCCTAATGTCGAACCAAGCGGTAGTGCACTAATGACATTGTAGAGATTTTAATGAAGATTATTAAATTTCATTAGTAATTTCATGAATATTGCTGATACAGCTGAATATAAAAATAAGTCAATCAAAATTTCTATAAATTAGAACATAAAATCGAATCGATGCTGATATAATCCACTTTTACTTTTGATAATTTTAATTAGATTAGTTTTATAAATTTACCTTGCTGTTGTTACTGTCATTGTCGATGGACTTGCATCAAACGCTGATGTTATGGTGATTGTTGAGGTAGAACTAATGTTAGAGTCAAATTGTTCATTCATATTTTCTAAAAAAAAAAAGAAAACAAAAAACATGAGAAATGGATTTTAATGAAAAAAGGGTAGAAAAAACAACGCGTGCAGATTTTACCAGTGTTTGGTGCTGTTGTTGTTACGGTGGAAGTTTTTGGATTGAAACAAAGTGGCGTAGATGTTGTTGATGTAGAGTTTAACCCATACAGTGATGCAATCGTCGAAACGATCGTTGATGAAGTGATTGTGTTTGTTACAGCATTGCTGATTAGAGCAGCCTTTTTGTCATCTAAAAAAACAAAAATGATAGGAAAATATTTTGTATGAATGTAGAAAAATATCTTTTTTAATGTAGAAGAAAAAAAAAATTAGAAATGTTGATGATTGAAAAAAAAGTTCTGGGAATGAAAACTCCCACTTACTTTTCATGTTGGGGTTTCTTTTCGGTGGCATTCGAAAAGTAGGTGTCTTCAATTTGGGTGTTTGACTGTTGACTGAAATCTGACTACTGCCACCTCTCTGTGCTCTTTTCTTCGTATCAGCTCCAGGGTGTTTTCGCACGACATGTCTTTCCATTGAATGTTTTTGCGTATAAAGTTTGACACAATAATAACATTGGTAGCGTTTTCCCTGGTGCTTCGTTTCGTCGTGCCGCTTTAAGTTTGAAGCAGATGAGCACACTACGGGGCATCCCGCGACAGGGCAAATGTGTTGACCACCTTCTTCATCATTTTCGTATTCGTTGCTTTCATCGCTATCGCTTTGAAATGTTTCCATCACAATTGTAGCTATGCCGAGAGAGAAAAAAAATTGTGAAGGTTTGCTCTGTAGATTTTGTATAATAAGTGTGAGTCGTGTAGTTTGAAGAGGATTTGATTGGGTATTGACTCATCCTCTATTGACTAGCAGATACTAAATACATCAGATATTTTTTGTATGAGAAATAGAAAATAAAAACTCGATATATATGTGAATCTATAAAAGTAGAACATGAAGTTTTTTCACATGGTTGTTTTTTTTTTTGTAGTGCGAAAAACAAAATATGTAAAAAATCTTCTAGCTCCATTTTTATGGAGACAAATTGCAAGTCGAATTTTATTTTAGCCCAAGTCTGAAGTAATTTTACTTTGACAGAAAATACAAATAAAATGATTAAACGATTAAGAGGCAGAAGAGGCATTTTTCGACGTAATCATATTTTTTTAAACACATACACTCTTTCTATCTTACACACGTCACACATTATAAATTTGCCATTCTGAATATATTGAAGGATAAAAACACGTACAATTACAATTTCAGTACACATTTGTTGCGTTCTACTGAATTTTTTAATTATGTAAACCCCAAATCCAAAATAAACAAGAACTCAACAAATCACACACTTACGGCCTATTTTTATTTTACTTTGCCTATTTTTTTATTGTAAATTCACAATGTCTGTTATTTTATTTGTTTTTTATTCGATGGTAAAAAATGTTTTTGTTACGTTAAGTAAGAATGTAACACGATTGGTTTGATTTTCGTGAAATAATGATTTTTAGCTGCTTGATACAAAATTTGCGTCAATTTACTGGAAGCCGCTCTTTGCTACTTTGACATAAAGAGATGAATATATTGTAACACATAAATGCACAATGACATTGATATTTTGTCTTGTTCGTGGTATTGGTTAATCGATTTGACGTTTCGAATGTCAACTATTGCTGTTCGCATCTGTTAACACTCTGGTTACATCACATTCTATCGCACGCTCTGATTGGTTGCAAATACACTCAACACATATACTGCACAAATGTTTTCCTTTTGTTTTGACATGTTTTGGATCAAGTCACAATCGCATGTCTGGTTCATATTCAAAATAGAAAGAAAAAAATGATTATTTCCGTTAATTTTCCAGTTTTTCTCATTTTT